ATCAGATACTTATTTGCATGAGTGACAAATTGTTCTGAGCGTTTGAAAAGCTACAGGAGGCATTGCCATTCTCTACTCCTACCTCATCTCTGCAGTCACAGCCTGTGCTGCAGTCAGCTCCCAGGCAGGCAGGGAGGAGGAGCAAGACTCACAGGCCAGGCAGATGTGAAATGTAGAGCAGCACCCTTAAACTGCAAAGGGAAATGCTGTGGAAGTGACCCCTCAGTGATTGCAGAAATGCCAGTCACTTTAGAGAGGAAGATGTTCCTTTCTGAGGAGGAAAAGCTAGTGAGGAAAAGGAATGGTCAAAGTCTGGCATCTCTGCTTCCGCCTGTGGGAAGTGAAGGCAAATGAGCTCTGAGTCCTTGGTGCTTGACAAGCCCTGGGGCAATGAGTTGGAACGCTGAAGGACAGGGAAGGTTGAAGAGCAAGCCTTGGTAGGATGGGCCAGGATGTAGTTGTGGTGGGAATCTCAGTTGGAGGCCAGAGGAGGTGGGGGTTGTGAGAGGGTCTGTAACATTGTGATTGGACTATTTACCTGGAGAGTTTCACAGTGGCCAGTGAGATTGAATGTTGTATGTATGTGCAGGTTAGAAAGTACCAAACAAGGGGATAAAAAGGGCTTGCTGATAATAAACAAGGATTTGAGCCTCTGCATCAGCTTGAGTCCGTGTTGTGAAATGCCACATCTGCCCCTCTCTGTTGGACCATCAAAGGATTTTTAAACCCCTCCAATTAAGACCTTGTATCCTCCTAGTACCGCTGTCCTTAACCTCAGTGAGAGAAATAAAGCTTAAAGGTAATGCTTCATTTTTTTCCATGTCTTACTTTTTTTTTAGAGTAAAAGCCCTAAATAAATGTAATTTTAATGTCCCTCTTTCTTACTGCCAAGTTTGAATGCCCACAAGACCTTAAAAGAAAGAAATCCTATGCCACAAGCAGAGGAGGTGAAGCAGGACTCCTCAGAGAGAAGCTGATGAAAGGGACAGCTGTAACATAAAGATTTGGAGGATATCACAGAAGAAGATGTTTGCTTTGAACATCTTAGTACAAGCTACATTCTTAGTACAAGCTCTGGTTTCAATAATAGTTCTTTCTTAAGGCATGCTTAACTCCTGAAACCAATCTTGGTAGTTCTTATTTAATCAGAGATTGGTCCTACCCACCAGCATCACTGTGAAAAGGAGGCAGAGAAAATTTGCTTTTCAGAGCAAAATTTCTAGTTCTCACAAGGAAAACCACAGGTTTTTGCTTTTCTTTGTTGCGGAGCGCAGATGAAGGCTCCAGTATCTTAAGGGAGTTGGGGTGTGGTGGGAAGTGGAATTTGTCCCTCTGACAGCCCAGCCATCCCAGCATCCATATGTTAGAGTATTGCTAGCTTTTCTTGAAACCCAGTAAAACAGTTATTTTCTAGCAACTTGTGATTTGCTAGATGTTGCAGGAGATTCAGCTTTCTAAAAAGATGTCAGTTGTACTAAGAGCTTGGTCTTTGCAGCACCTCAGGGGAAGGTAATCCATTTTGTGCTCTGAAACTGTCTCTTCATTTAATTTTTTTTTTTCATGTTCTCTCCATTATTTTCAACTGCTTTATCTTCTTCACTTACTTTATCTTCTTTGCTTAACATCTTCCCATCTGTTTCTCTCACAAAACTGCATTAAAAGATCCTTACTTTTTACGTCCAGGTGTGGAGCTAAAATGATAATTCAGCTTTTACACTCCTTCCCCTCAGTTTAAACAGCTCAAACAAGTCAGGCAACAGATTCCTACAACCAAATATTGTAGACTTCTTTCTTGTTTTCTAATTGAGCCAGTTGAGAAACATTGCTTCTCATATTTTCCTTCATCCTTTAAAGCCCTAACTGTTCCACAAAGGATGTGGGTGTCTGGCTGCAAACCTGTGATATAGCAGAAGAACAGCCATTCCTAATGTTCAGGTCTTCAACCAAACCAGCACTTTGAGAAGACTTTAAAAAGTGTAATTGTTATTATTATCATCGTCATAATCATCTGGATACTCTTACCTAGTAGAATGTAGAAAAAAAAAGGAAGGTGAGCAGACTACCAAAATACAAGCTAATTAGCCTTAGCTTTTTCCAGTATCAACCTATGAGTGAAATATAGTCTGAAATAATTTGGCTTGGGAGGCCTGTAAAACATCATTGACTGTTTCATTAACTGCCTTGTCCTAGCGGACCACTGTTTGAACTATAGGGGTATGTTTGTCCTTTCAGAATGAAGTGTTCTGTAGCTGTATTTCTGCAGACAGCGGGAATGCAACACTAACGTCAAGTCAGTAGCTCAGACTACTTGGATGGAGCACAAGGAGAACAAGGCCCACACTGTCCAAATGTAGATCAGAGAGTGATCAGATTTTTTCAAAGCAGAGGAAGTAGGCTCTACTCTTGCAAGTTAAGGTTGAAAAAGTCCTTTGATTTAGAGTTAGAAAAGGAGCCATGGACAGCAAGGCTGTTTCCCTACCCTCTGTGGACCAGTCATAGTTTAAGCCCAACTGCTTGCTCACTCCCTTCCTTCTTCTTCCCCCTGCTCCTGGAGGGATGGGGAGGAGAATGGAAAGAATGTAAATCCCACGGGTTGAGATAAGAACCAATAACTAAGGTATAACACAAAGCATTACTGCTGCCACCAATAATAATAATGATAAGGGAAATAACATGGGAGGAGAATGCAATTGCTCACCACCCGCTGACCGATACCCAGCCTGACCTGAGCAGTGATCTGGGCCTTGCGGGTGACTCCCTCCAGTTTCTGTACTGGGCATGATGTGGGCCCCTTTGGCTAGTTTGGGTCAGGTGTCCTGTCTCTGCTTCCTCCCAGCTTCTCCTCCTCACTGGCAGAGCATGAGACTGAGAAAATCCTTGGTCAGAGTAAACATTACTTAGCAACAACTAAAAACGTTAGTGTTAGCAGCACTGCTCCCAGGCTAAAAGTCAAAACCACAGCACTGCATCATCTACTAAGCAGGAGAAAAAATGACTGCTACTGCTGAACCCATGACAGGAGCAATACATATTATAATCCCACAGAAATTAAAGGGCAACCAAAAACCAAAATACGCCAACAACCCCTCCAAGCCCCAGGTTTACTAGTTATTTTTATAGGCATGAGGCTGAACTTTTATCTTTGCTTGGGGAACTATGTGGTTTACAACAGCTGCATTAGTACTATACAGCTGTCAATCCCCTTTCCAGTCAGTCTCCTTTATTTTCCACTTCTGGAGACTGTATTTCAGCTCTAAACATCTTTTGATAGCACTGAGAAGTACCTGTTGAATAACAGGAGAAACCTTGCACAGACAGGCTAACTCAAGGAAAACAGAGACACCCTCACCAAGAGAGATAGCCATGAGAAGGTCTGTGCTGATGGCCTAGTCTGGTTCAGTACCTCTCACCTCAGACAGCAGCGTGTCCTTTCTTCTGAGAACGCATTGCAAGTCACTTGAAATTTCTGTTTGTAATCAGCAATATTCTGCCTGCTCCACACACATGGTAATTTTCATCCATGGCCACACCACAAATTCCTTGCCACTAGCTGTGCAGCTATCAGCTTCTTAGTGCTCTAAATAGCTCCCATGTGTCACATTTCGACAGCTCCCCTGCTCCAAGCTGACATTCCCACACCACAGAAATCTGAATAGTCCTGCACAGCTCCTCAGTTTAGGAAATCTAGAAATAACATGTTGGTTTATTGTTTATTTCTCAGAAAGTTTTGACTTGTGGATCTTCTGGAGACTGAAAGCAGGAAAAAAAATCCCATGCATGTACAATGCTCAAATTCAACAGTACATGACTGTTTATTTGTTCATATTTGTCACCATGAGGCTATGTCCCCAGGATAGTTGTTGTCTTGCATAAGAGAAGCCTAGATAATTTGGCTGTAGACTTAGAAAGGTGGCTCTAGTTTCGATTAAAAATACACTTGCATTCCCTTCTGCCTTCTTAACCACACAGCTTCCCTCTCACAGAAGCACAACTCTCTGTGCTCCTTTCCCTCTTGCCCAGACTTTCTTTACTCACCACTTCTACTGAACAGAACACACCCATGTGTTACTTTTTCCCAGCTCCCACACTCAAGCCCCATTTTTCTTCCAGGTGAAAGTGATACAAATTTAACCTCTGAAAAACCCCTCTAAAACATACTTGATTTCTCCTTGTTCAGGCAAAGACAGGGCAGGTTTCCCTTCCTTCCTTACCCGTTTGGATGCTGAAAGACACAGGTAGGACTGGGTTTGCCACCCTGAAGTCACAGCCCCTGGGCATGGCTACCTGAAGCTTGCAGACATGTGAAGTGTAGTTCAGATGTATGCCGACCTCTCCCCCATCTGGATGTCCCAGTTCTCCTAAGGCTGCATGGCAACACAAATGCACAGTGCTTTGTAGGGGAGATTAAGAAATGTTGTCTGCTCCAATTACTGTGCACTGCAAATAAGAATGTAAACGGGTTATTGGCACTTAATATCAGAGTGGGAGTTAACATCAATCTGTATTTTCCCATTCTAATATAATGTCACATCTTTTTCAATCTGTGTCCAAGAAACCATCAAAATGACAGTTCTGTGAACTGCCAGTACTGCTAAACAAGCAAACAAAAAAAGTGAGTGAAAGGCGAGACAGTCATGACCTTCTTGAAATTTCTTCATGTTTCATATCTCCTGGGCATACACTGGGAAAAAATTCTTTCCTTTAAATTAAAAAACAGAACAAACAAAACAATTATCTTACTTTTCCCAGTGTTTGCTTTGGAAGAACTGGCATAATTTGGAAAAGCGGGCTTAAAGCATTTGTTATTAAAAGAAAAAAAAGGAAATATTCTTACATTGCTTTTGTCCTGGCAGTGATAGATCCAAGTTATTTTAACTGGATATATTTTTTGTCTTGGGTTTATTCAAGGCCCTTCAGTATCTTTGCAAGCTTCTAACAACAGAATGTGTTTTCTCCACCAATGATGCTGAGAAAAGCATCATAAAGAAACTCGTCAATACAACTGTGTCCTGGGTTCAGCAGTAGCAGTCATTTTTCTCCTTCTTGGTAGCTGGTGCGGTGCAGTGTTTTGACTTTCGGCTCAGTAACAGAACTAATAACAAGGATGTTTTGGTTTGGCCAAGGACTTTGTGAGCCTCATGCTCTGCCAGGGAGGAGGGGAAGCCAGGAGGAAGCAGAGACAGGACACCTGACCCAAACTGACCAAAGAGGTATTCCATACCACAGCACGTCATGCCCAGGATATAATGGAGAGTTAGCCAGAAGGGCTGGGACTGCAGGGTTGGAGGAAGTGTCGGTGGGTGCTTGGTCGGGCCGGGAGGGGCAAGTTATCGGTCGGCTGGTGGTGAGGTGTTGTATTCTCTTCCCTTGCTATTTCCGTTATCATTGTTATTATTGGTGGTAGCAGTAGTGATTTGTGTTATACCTTAGTTACTAAACTGTTCTTATCTCAACCTGTAGGAGTTGCATTCTTTTCGATTCTCCTCTCCATCCCTCTGGGAGTCGGTGGAGGGAAAGAAGGGGGGAAGTGAGTGAACGAGCCCTCTGCCTGGTTTTAAACCACGACAAACTGTTAAGTAGGTATTTGTTTATTCAGTGCTGGGCACGTGGGGGATCGCTCCTCCTAACATGTGCGCTCACTGTCCAGTTTGTCACAAATTTATGTTAGTAGATATACATGTTCATAAAATTTTTGAGAAGAGGAGGGGTCCTTCTTGGAACTCTGCCACTCCATCTTGAGCATGCGTACTGTCCTCTGGTGGTAGTCAACAGTAGTCATGAGGATGAAGGCCCAAAGTCTTCCTCTAGGTTGAACATTTTACCTTTTCTCTTGGAGTATGTGCCATACTTTCATGGCAGTTTCCCAAACCACCAAAGCGGTCCTGATTGGTATACATCTTTATCTTTAGCACACAAGCAGTCCCTATTGGCTTAGGCCTAGACAAACAGTAACAAAGTTGCTTAATTAACTAACTCACCTTACAATTTTATGCTAACTTCTTCTTTTTCTTAAAGCTTCTTTGTCTTAGTATATAGCTTCTTTGTCTTAGTGAATTTCTGTTATCACGAATAATTCTTGAAGGCTGTTATTGGAGAAGATGGAAAAAAATGAGACATATAAGACTCCAGTAAACAGTACTTATTAGTAGCTGTAACAAGCCACACAAGTGATATCATTGACAGTTTAGTATTTTGAGACCAGCAATTACAAACATTTTATGCTAGAATGTTTCTGTAAATTATAAATAAATTCCATTTGGATTTTTTGCGAATGAGAATGTTTTTCCTGGGGAAAGCATTAGTGGCACTGAAAGAGCTTTGTGTTGACTCCAGAGACCTGTTTTGCTGAAAGGAAAGATGCGGAGGTGACCAGCTGGCTCAGAGATGTTGAAAAAGCTTAGGAAATCCTGTTCTTAGGTTGCTGATTTTGGCATTAATTTGCTGGCTTGAAAAGTGATGGTGTGATCTGGAACCTTCCTTCAGTGGCCAGCTGTGACCACAGGCAGTTTCCAGTTTGCAAGATTTTGGCAGAATTTTTAAAACTGCTGATGTTTGAGAGTACTGATGGTGATACCTTAAGTCAAGTGCTGCAGACACTTGAGAGCATCATGTCTAACATGACAAAATGTAGACATAGCTATAAACCCAACATGTGTGCTTTACCTTGTTTTATTTTTCTGTTGTAAAGATGGTGTCAATCTGCATCATTCAGTGCATAATTATTATTTTTAATGTATGCATTTCTTTAGCTATCATTGTGTACCAGCTTTTTACTTGAGTATTACGTTTCATATTAGTTATTCTCTGTGTTTGATACAAACTTTTTGGAATAGTCATTTTCTGCTGGAACCTCCACCTCTTTGAGTCATTCAGTGATATTCAGCCTTGAAGCCATTACAATGGGAGATAATTTATGAAACACTAAACAAGAAGCCCTCTCTTCCCTCAAGAATTGACTAAGACAAAAACAAAAGGAGTTTGTTCATGGGTGATAATTGCATTGTCTCATTCAATTTTCTTCTGCAATCCTATTACAGCTGTCCAAAGAAATCATGCATTATACAATCCAAGTAATTAAAATATAATTCTAAAAGCTAATTGTCTATAAAAATCTAGAGTTGATCCTTTACTCCTTAGAAATATGGAGGTAATTTCATTCATATGCCAATTCATGAAGACCATCACTGGAATATTTAATATAGGTCCAAAGTACCAACTTCTCTATGTTATATGGTGTTGGAAGAATAAAAACACATTAAAATATTGCAGTGAGGGTATTCCAACACAGAGATGACTAACCCTAACCCTAACCCTTATAGGTCTCTATCTGAGAGAAGAATGCATGCAAGGTCCCATGGCTAAAAACTGATGAAAAACTCCTTGGTCTGGTGCAGGAGGAACAGACAAGCTGATCATCCTGACACCTTCAAGCTTTAAAATCTATTAAACTTGTACACCAGTTAGGAAAACAATAAGATATCTCAAAGCATTCCTTCCAAGACACAGGAAACTAGAATGAGAAAAGGAATACTTGTATGCATACTTGTATGCAACCACTTGTTGCATACAAGTAATCACTTACTTATTGCTTCATTGGTATCTTTTCTGCCACAATAGTTACCTGAAATTGCAGTAATAAGGGTTGTTCCAGAGGGTCTGATTGAAAACTAGAGCTGGTAACAGGCTGTTTGCCCATTGAGCCAGGCCTTTCAGCTACTGCAAAGACATCGAAAGAAAGTGAGAAGAAATGTTGCTTTGTTCATCAAGGAAAATGAGGATATTAAGGATACTGTCTGAAATGCTTTCTGAATGAATTTTAACTCATCTAAACAAAATGCATCAACTCAGCTTGGGAGTGGCTGAAGAAAGTGTTCAGGAAGGAATAAGGCACAATATCTTCAATTATACTTTTAAAATGTAATTTAATTTCATTCCATTTTTAATTTCTAAAATTATCTTTTCTTTTTTTCCACAGCTTTTCTGAAGGAGAAAGTAATTAGGAGACTGAATTTGGACTTCAGCCCACCACTTACCATGGCCTCTGCTCCCCCTATAGCCCCAAGTTGGTGGTACAACAGAAAGAGTCAAAATACACTGGGAATTCAGCTGATATCAACGTTTCTCTGCTGGAGGTATCACATGGATATCTTGATGCAGATCAGCAGTATAGACATTCAACAGTGACATTTCTATATAGGCAGTGTTTAATAGACCAGAAAAAAACACACAGACATGAAGTTCCATATGCATGCAGAAATATATATAGAAATATATAAATAGCAGAAAGAACCACCCAACCAACCATGCTCATCTCATACAAAGAGAGAAAACAACATTGAATCCCAGGGGGTAGGGGTGGGGGGTGGTGGGGAGCAGCAAAAGCAGGTGCAGTAATTAATGTTCCACTGATTTAGTGAAATGCTGTTACACAGGTCAGATCACACAACCATAATGGCCTCTTAAGTGTAGTCACCCTGAACAGTACAGAAGTTAGATAACTGAAGGGTTGTTGAATTGATAAAGTGTTATGTATGGTTTAAAAAAAAAACCAAAACCACCAGGAACAAATAAGCCCACAACAAACAACCCCTCAACTTTTACTGTTGTCTTTTATTTTCACTGAAGTGCCCTGAGGCTAAAGGCAAGTCATGTTTTTATGCAAGAGAACAGCATGTCTCCTAGTAGCCTGATGAGTTGAACAACAGCCTTGTCACAAAAATGACAAAAAAAGGTGCTCCTGGGTTTTGATCCAGATTTGTTCTGAGTAGGTGCAGGATTTTGATTCTGTGTCTTTAAAAACTGGCAGTTTAGCAAAGATGTCAAGCTGCAGAATTTTCTGCTGGCTAGAAAAATATTGCTGATGATTTCCCTGGTGAAACTGAGCAGAAATTCTTATCTCATGCAAACACTAAGTACCTTTTTTTCTCTGTATTATATGATAAGGAATCAGGTGCATTCTTCACTTTTCATTGTATGCCAAACTACAATATGACATTGGGAAACACTGATTCTTTATTTCAACTGCTGATTTTTAAGAGCTCCCCCCAATATATATCTTGGTTATTGGATTTAATATTGAACTGTAAAACTACCTAGAATTCAATTACTACATGCTCAATACAGATTAATTAATCTGCAGATTCAGCTACACAAAATCCCTGAACTCATCCCTCAAGCAAGGCTGTGGATAAATGAATAAAACTGGCACATTCATCCTGGACTTTGCAGATTGGACCACAAAAACATATGAAATGGAGCCCAGGATGAATGAACATGTTCTACAACCACTGTCCCTTACAGCTCAAAGCCATGGTCTTTAAAAGCAGTGCATCCATCAGATGGTAACTGCTTCAAACAAGAAGCAGAGAGGGACATGTGTCAGATTTCAGCAACACAGGGTTTCTAATTCAAGATGTTTATAGTAGGCAGAAAACCAGAGTGGAGTCTTTAGAGAGTATTTACAACAGTCACCTTTCTGTGTCAATCTTCTCCTCCCCATCCCCCCAGGAGTAAAAATTAAGGAAATAGGAAACTATACACAGCTTTGTATGGTTTAAGGCATGGACTTCTGAAGTGATTCTGCATTGAGGACCTTCAAGCAGAACGATACTGTAATTGCAAATAGATGATACTGAGAAGAGAGGCAGAAGAAATAAATGCGTGTTCAAAAATAGCTCAAAATGAACCTCATCAGAGACGGGGACTTGATCTCCATAAGCACGCTCTGACCTCTTGGCAGATGGCACCCACACCAAACACTGTCTTGCTGCCTAAATCACAGATCCTCCATCTGATGTTTAATGATGACAACAAATTACTGTATAATGCAAGTTTGGGATCTCTGCAGCATCCACCACAATTTTAACATCCTATGTATCATTTTTGTAGGGCTTATCTAATGATACTGATTTTTATGCATTATCCTGATGTTTTGCAGTCCTAGGAACCTTGGTCTAGTTCCTTGACCTACACTTACATTTACAAGATCCAGGAGATCTATAGCTCACCTGATGTCAGGTTTTTATTAATACAGTCCGTC